CGACCAAACGGCCAACATTAATACCTTACACCAAAAGTTATTCAACAATTATTGAAAAACAAGAACCATACACCAGACCAGGAGTATCTCTACTCAAAGGTTTCCTCCAAAAGGAGAAGAACAAAACTTTGTCATTGACAACTACTACCGAGAAAGTTCAGCAGGTTACCGCTAGGAGCGACAATCTTGAGACAGAAAAACAAGGAACTGACAACACGAAGGACAATTTCGAATCAGCTACCAAAATCCCTCACACCACCAGAGCCGACGTTTACACTCAGACAGCATCATCTGACAGATACGATGTATACTCCACCACCAACCTCGCCACCCAGACTACAACAGAACCTTCCTACCAAGAACGTCGCGAAAGACTGATGAGGAAACTGAACCTAGACAGATATGCACCTACTGCCACTGAACCCACTGTCCCTACAACTAATACTGACAAATATTTCGGAGACCAGCCTAACAGGCCAGGTTTAGTCGTTCCACCATCACTAACACCTAAAACCTTACATAGCCTGGCGATCTATTACGCAACAGCTTTAGATAACTTGTCAACTACTCCTACTCCTGAAGAAGCTGAAACTGTTACACCTGCATTCGATGAGTATGAGGCTATGGAAGAGGTCTTACCAGCTCTATTCAGCCGTCAGACAATTAACAAATACAGCAACCTCTTTGGTCACCAAATGACTAATGCTGAACTATTGGAAGAAATAAGGGAAGATCCTAATGGAACCTACAACGAATTAGTAGAAGACCTGTCTGTCCAACAAAGTCAAAACCCAATCGCTACTTCTCCACAAATCAGGGAATTGGCTCAAGTCTTCACACACGCGTTATCTGCCTATCTACAAGACCCAGTTCAGTTTAGGAAGGTTCTGTCGGATATAAGACCAACACATCCTTCGTTCGGCGACTTGTTGACGACAACTGAAGAATCTATTAACACTGAACCAACGACAACAGTAAACGAGGAAGACGATGAGATACTAGGTTTCTCAGATGATCATAAAGCTGTACCGCCTGTATCAAACTTGCGAGAACCGAAAGCTTTAGGCATCCCTACGATATACCCGGTGACAGAAGAAACAACCACTACTCCCAGACCTGCCACTGAGTACACAACACCATCGTACAGTTCGTATAGTTCTCTATCTACTGTCAGAAACCCATTCAGGTGCTGCGGAAGGATATCAGCATCATACACATCGCCATCAACGCCTGCTGCCACAACGCCATCATACACAAACACCGTGGCCGTGAACGTCAATACTCTGGGCAGTCACGACAATGAACCCTCATCGACAACTGAAGCTGATTACTCAGTTCACAAATATGGAGGGTTCCAGAACAATGCTTTAACACTTAATGATTCTCCATACGGAACAAATGCTGTTTCAACAGAAGGAAAACCATTAAGCGAATATGTTGAAGCTACCAACTTACCTACCGCTTGGGGCATAGACCCGTCAGCATCCACAACTAATGATTTTGAAAGCAAGAAAATTAAAACCACAACAGAACTTCCCCTTACTACATCTGTGTACTTTACGGAGACAGAAAGCGTAGAATTGGAGAACGAAGAGGAATTGCAAAGAGCTCACAGTCAATCGTTCGCTGCACCACAGGGCAACAGCATCCGTCATGGCAAACAGATAAACTTTGATGCTGAACCAATCAAAAAACCTGCTGAGGATCTTGAAGCTCCTACTATTCCTGATGATGACCTCACGACGGTGCAAACGACGACACAGCCTACGACAACTGCTAGGGTAACAGAAATCGAATCCCTTACTACCACACCAACTGCCTCTGAAGTCGTGTTCACTTCTCCTGACAGCGACAAGTCAACAAACCAACAAGGTTGGTCCAGCACAGCATACGGTAATTGGCAAAGTACTGTGATAGACCCGATCACACTTAACGATGGCTTGAGCGCCACAGCGCTAGACCAGAACCAAGGACTTTCAGAGAACACATACATACCGAACACAGCAACTACTCCCACTGAGTATATCGCTACAGAACAGACAGCCGCTCCGACAGTCAGTTTCGAAGTATCCACTCATGAAACTAAAGAATTTGAAAGACAAGGAAGGTTACTAAGAGATTCGTCTACAGAACCAGCACAAGATCTAACTACAATAACCGACACAGTGGTAGAAAAAGCCAAAGAAATTATGAACGCGACTACTGCTGAGAAACTTATGAATGTTATGAAGAAAACGAAATCGAAGACAGTGAAGAGATTGATATTGCTTTTGATACAGACATGTGATGACGACCATAACACTACTGCTGAAGCATCTAAGAAGGCATTGCTCGAAGCTTTAATGGCTGTTTCTCAGAAGGATATGGAAGACATTGCAAAGGAAGAAGAAACGACTGAAGTACCAACCACAGAGGCTAACGTACTCAGAAGAGTAGATAGAGTAGAAAAGACAAGAGGAGATAGAAGAGGGAAAAGCCTAAACTTTGACCCGAGTGCAGTGAATTCTCTATCAAATGTAGCACAGACTAGTACAACCACAGAGACTGCAAAAACGACAGAAGACTTGGAGACGGCGGCTACTACGTTCAGTCCACTGAGAACTAACACTGCTAGTCGGAGAGGTATTAAGAAGTTTCACGTGAGGACCACGCCTGTGGAACCTAGAACCACGGCTAAAGCACCGTTTGTAGATAGTCCTATAGCTGAAGCCAGGGTATCAGGTCCCAGTGACACGAAGGCCACGTCGGACACAAGAGCCTTAGAACTATTAAGGTCTCTATACTCTATCGCGGCGCGGTGGGGTTGAGAATATTCTAGAAACGTAAGGTCTTTGTTTTTATATTTAGGGTTGAGTCCAGTGCGACATTTTTTATTTTGTAAATTCGATGTTTTTTTAAGATGAGAGTTCCGATTTGTAACTTCTCTTGGGAGTGACCTCTATATAAATTAAAAAGAAAATAGAAATCTACTGTGAAAATTGTTTACAAATTAGAATGTTTTGTTAGGTTAGTGTGTTATACGAAATCCGAAATGTAAAAAAAAACTCTTTATAACATCCAAGAATAAGTTACAATCAGAACATATCAGTGTAAAGTAATTCCAAACCCTAAATATAAACGTGTAAATGTGATTATGTAGATAGAATTTATTCGTTATCAACCTAAATTCAAGATCATCAATCATTTTCAGTTACTAATCTGAAAATCGTGATGTTTAAATAAGCTGTTCATAGGGCTTTATGCACGAGATATATTGACTTAAACTACAATCTTTATTATAAATTTCTCAATAACAAATATCATAATCTTTATTGAACTAGAACTGTTTATTGAAAATAGTATGTCCACATGATTAAAATGGCAACCACTAATAAAACAATAATTTAAATGGCTACCAATACTCATTGTTAAATTGACGAAAAATGATCACGAAAAAACGATCTCTTAGGTACAATTTTTAAGTCAAGTGACAAGAGAAATACACATTTACAATTTCAAGATATATCCTGATAATTGTATAATACTCAAATGCTCAAACTATACCCAAGAGTAACACAAGTCGTGCATATGTCGTAGGATAATTTGATACTTCGAATCTTCGCGGAAATCCTAGGGGTTTTGCGAAAACGCGGATAATTAGACATAGGCGAAAAATTATCAAATCTTACTGGACAAAGTCAGGATTTTTGCGAAAATACTCGTTACTATAGTAAGATTTGATGTGCTCAACACTGATTGGCTACAATTTTGCTGGCTGACTTCTAATTGGTTCCTAGTTTGCCGATGATTAACTTCAAGTATTGTATCATAGAGATAATTATGAAGGTTTAGAATAGGTGAGAAAGAAAAATCACTAAATTGATTTTTATAAACCTTTTATTGAACATTTTAGTATGTATGTTGTTTTCTACAGACAAAAGGAGATCTCAGTCGTAGTAAAAAAAAATGATCCAATTTTAGGGTGTAATCCATAAATTGGATGAAACTGGTCGTTTAAGACGACGAAAAAACATTTAAGACGTCAACCAATCAGAGACGATCTCTTATTGAACGCGCTGACCGACCAATCAGCGTTCTTATTTCATAACAGCCAGCGTTTCGTTTCGCAATCTTACTATAGTAATGAGTATTTTCGCAAAAATCCTGACTTTGTCCAGTAAGATTTGATAATTTTTCGCCTATGTCTAATTATCCGCGTTTTCGCAAAACCCCTAGGATTTCCGCGAAGATTCGAAGTATCAAATTATCCTACGACACATATAACTCTAAACAGTTTTTATCTTCGACCCTAGTAACTTATTACGTTTTGTTATTGAAGAAATTCGACTACATAGACTTACGCATAGTATTGTAATTTATAAGCAATCTTATTGTTTAATTTTCCTATTTTTAGGAAGCATACTAGGCTTAGTATACTGAGTTACCTACAAATCTACGTTTATGTTAATTATTATTATTATACATTTCGTTAAAGCCACATTCTGTAATATACTCGTAAGTGGACTATCTTTAGTTGTATTATATGTTAGATATGTTTTTTTAGTAAATTTTTGTATAAAAATATTGGTTGGACTTTCTTTTTGTACCCTTATTATTTCATTACGGAGCCACGGAGGACTTAACGGGTTACCGGGACTCTGGTTCGAATTGCAGGAGTCGGAATGGGGTAGTTTTAATCAGTAACAGTCTCTCTCGTCTCACTCGGGCGGTAGAAATCATTGGCTGACTTTCCCAGTCAAAAAAAAAACAAAAAAAAATTCATGACAAGATGAAATGATATGAAATTCTTCATTAAAAGCGCATGGAATTTAATCGACAGTCACACTTGCGACCAGTCGGCCAATGAGGCAGGCAGTTATAATATAATAGTCTAAAATATAAGATAGTAATAAAAACCCACAAAAAACGTTTAAATACCTTTTTAATAATGTACAAACAAATGCACATACTTACATTACACTTATACAAGGTAAAATCAACTATATGCCCCAGACATAGGATTATTTTTTCCCTACTTTCTTGTTAACGTATTTTTCAATGTCTTTCTCGGTGACTTTGTGTCCTGGTTTGAAGTAACTCTTCAGTTTCCTCTTCTTCTTCATCATCACCTTGGACGCTGCGAGGGCACCACGACGTTGGAGAGACTCGAATCGGTCCCGGAGTAGGTTTGCTAGAAAATTAGGTTTTATTTTAATAGTGGTTAGGTTGAGAATCGTTTGGGTAGATAGGGCTTTATTTGAGACATTCTTCTACTGTCAATAGTAACCTATATTATAGTGATTAAAGGGACAAAGTTCGATCGGGTCTTAAACAGAAGTTTAGAATAGACTTTTCGATTAAGAAAATCTAATAGAGACATACATGTGTGCTTATATACCAGAAACCTTCACAACAATAACGGATGCATCCACTGATAACTATAAAAAATCTGTTCAGTTGTTTTTGAATTCATTGTAAACATACAAACAGGCAAACATACACTGGTGTACTTTACACAACATAACAATAATATATGACAATCACAAAATTATTAAAAGAAAAACATAACAAACTATTACTTAGCATATTAAACTGTCAAACACCGCGGGGACACCGGTGACAGCAACCTATTGTTCTTTAATTGTGTCTATAATGACAGTACTCAAAGGGTTAATAAACTATACTTACTAGTAGACTGTATATTCCTCAAGTCTCCGGTCAGCTGCTTAGGGTCCACGAAGTCAGGTTCCTTGATCGGAGTCTTATGAGCGCTGAGTGCGGGTAAAGCAGTAGCTTCCGTGGCAGCTCGCTTCTCTAAACGCTTTGTCCGCTCTTCTGCTTGCTTCTGTTCACGAGTCTGGATTGAAGATTGGAGTTTACGGAGCCTGGAAGAAATAAGATGACATTATGTTATCTTTTTTCTGATAATAACCAACTGCTGAGAGAGTAGATCTTCTATCCTATAATAGATTGACTGCACGGTCGGCGCGGTGGCTGGGCCACTGATTGCCACGCAACGAGTCGTGGGTTCGATTCCCGCACGGAACTAGTCTTTGTGTGATTCACAGGCCACCCACGACACAAGAGAAAATAGTAGTGTGGGGCAACATTATAAAAAAAATCTCTCCAATAGAATACGTGTTAATTGCAAAACAGTTAAACTCATAGTAAATAATATTAATATTTTAATTATACAAAGACAGGCAGACTTTTGAACATTAAACAAAATAAAATGTGTCAGTCTCTCGGTCAGTCTTCTAGTGAAGCTATTTGCTCATTCTTTCGTGTAACTTATAGTGCCAGATATTTTTTTAATAGGATCTAACGCATTAATTGCGCCAACTATTAAGCACTAAATTAAGAACCGTGATTGCCATATATTACGAATTATTATCAACGAATCAAGTATAATCATCAGTCTTCCTACTGAAATTTATCTTTTCGTTTAAAAGCATACAAACTAATATTACGAATTGTTTAGTAAGTAATCAGAAATCAAGGCTATGAAAACGAAAGAACACTAGATATTTATATCAGTGTTTATAAAACTTAATTGAGTACTTGCCTTCATCAAAAATAAATTATTTCGACTGTTCAATACAATAAAATGTTAAAAAATAATCACACTTTCATTAATTAATTTTATGACCAACTTAATTTCAGTATTTTTCTAACAAATTTTTAAGAAAAAAGTATGGTGTTTGACGCTAAAAAACGTGACGTCACAATACACAATCTCGTACAAAATTCATAGAAAACTGTCGTTTTTGACAGTTCGAAAAAAGTATTGAATTTGACTAGTTTGCAAGTACCCAATTGTCTAATTATTACAGAGGCAGCTATTTAAAAAAACAAATGCAAACTCACTTATAAAGATCAGTAATCTTCTTCTTGTCAATCTTCTCCCGCTTAAGTCTCTCTTTCTCCTCCAATCTCTCTCGTTGTTTCCTTCTAGCTTTGTGGTCCTTCTTCTTGTTCTTGACCGGAGGATTCACTGCCTTGTACTCATTGTCTGTCTCGGAGCCCGAGTCGTTGGCTGGGTTGTGAGGTTGGGGTAGACCAGCGCTCATCTCCTCTCGCCATTGGTTCTGGAAAAATAGAGACGAGTTAAAATGAGTGAACTAAGTTGAATGACGGGACTGTGGTTTGAGATGTTACTATACATGTGTAAAAGGATTAATAGAACAGTGAACCGCAAAGGACTGACGGCCTATGAATGGAGATGTTAATTATATTTAAAACTAAAATTATTGGGCTTGTCCCCAATTGTCTATGCCTAATACTAGCCTAGTTTTGAAAAATGAACTATTCAAGAGCACTTTTATGTACATACATACGTACAAACAAACGTTACATAATAACACTAGATTCCAGATTCGATTTTCTGTCTAACAATAGACAATTTTTTATTTGGGTAACAATAAACAATTATCACAACCTACCTCTTTCTCGTGTTGCGTGATTCTGCGGAACATGCCGGTGGTGACTCTGTTGAGGTGTGCTTCGCGCTTCATCATCTTCACTTCGTGCTGACCCACCTGCTGGAGTAGATCTTGATGTTCCTGGAATAAGGGAAAAGTACAGATTAATAAATATTAACCTCTTATATGCACAATGCCGACATATGAAACACAATAGACAACACATTGTGTCTCTCGCGTATATCTACGTTCCGGAGTACCTACCATATGAATAATGATAGTACAAGATTTATAGAATTACTAGTAAAGTACTAGTAACTTAACACCCATGTCAGTCGAATAAAAATACGCGACTGTGCACACAGTGAGCGTTTCAATCAGTTGTGATAATCATGCAAACTATCGTAACCTTTTCGATTTTCTATATTATAAGTATACTAGCGACCCGCCCCGGCTTCGCACAGGTGCAATATGCATGTATTGTACATATAAGCCTTCCTTAAGAATCTCTCTATCTATTAAAAAAACCGCATCAAAATCCGTTGCGTAGTTTTAAAGATCAAGGCATACATAGGGACAGACAGACTGCGGATAGCGACTTTGTTTTATACTATGTAGCGATGAAGCATGGAGTACAGTATACATTACATAAGAGTCAAATGACTAATTGTATAACTAGTGGTGGTCAATGTTTAATATCCACGGGCATTAAAACAGATTATCATAAAGGATTATCAAGTGCAGCAATACCTACATTGGTATCAACATTTAAAACCGACAATACTCTATTAGTATATAGTGTCAATACTAACCTGGTATGAAGGATTATAACTGACTCCTGGATGAGGAGCTTCCACTGCAGCCCTGGTGACAACAGTCTTGGCCAGCGGAGGCTTCGGTCGCAGTCTCTGTGTTGGTAGCACATTGTGGAGCTGTGCTTCTGGGGATATGAACTCATCCACCAATGTTTCTGGGATACCTTTTGATTCTGGTACTGTTGAAGAAATTATTTGTCACATGGATGGGAAGTACTTTGTTTCACAATGAAGGAACATCAATCAATTGTGTAAATACATCATTCCTAAGACATGTTGAGGATCAAATTAAATGTTATTTTGTAGTAATCTAATATTCACTTATATTTAAATTGAATATCCATTAAATTTTCTTTTCACACTGAGATTTTCTCCTGTGTCATGGGTCCGCTTACAAACATACAAGTTCGCATACACATGACACCCAGACTGAGAACAACAATTGATGGATCACACAAAGAATTGTTCGGTACGGGAATCGAACCCGCAACACGTTGCGCTGCAGCCAATTGCCCAGACACTGCATCAACCGTGCAGTCTGGATCCAAGAAAGGTGGAACCGTGAAATGGAACAATAATGAGAATGAATTAAGTTACTCTATACAGGGTGCACAATCATGTTGCTTTAGATTACCCACTTATCTATGGATAATATTACAGACTGCTTTAGATAGGAGACTATGAGACCTCCGGCAATAAATGACTGTTTTTCAAGATTTTATATTGACTACACTAATTCTGTTTTTATAATTTTTGGAAAACCACTTACAATCCTGTCCCCAAAGATCCTTACTGAAGTTCTGTCTAACTTGTTTTGCTTTTCTCTTCTTGTCTCTAGCCAATTTTCTATTCTTCTTTGCTTCTTGTAGTTTCCTCTCAAAAACTCCTTTTTCTTCCAACTTCTTTTGTTTCAACTTACTTAGAGCTGTTGGTTTGAATCCAATTGGATTCACATGGTTGCGTTTTGCATTGGGGTCTTGAACCTGAAAGAGAAGAGTACAAGATTATTTTAAATACTATAAAAAATACTTGCACCCGCTGCCTCATTGGCCGAGTAGTCGCAAGTGCAACTGCCGGGCAAGGGGTCTCGGGTTCAATTCCCGGGTCGGGCAAAGTATTACTGGGTTTTACAAAAATTCACAGTTGTAGACCGGAGTCTGGAATTGTGCCCGGTATATGGCAATAGGCTCACCCCCTACTACATGGGACTCATAACATACATAGTGAAAATTGGGTGTTACAGTATACAGTGGCATAATGTACCTCTGCCTACCCCTTCGGGGATAAAAGGTGTGATGTTATGATGTAAAAAATACTTCACACATTACATCAACAGCTTGTAAGTGACCAAAGCTCTTTGGTCAGCACTGACCTCTTATCATATGTATAAGAAAATATAATATAAATAGATAGGTTACCTTAGAAGTGGGCAATAAAACTTCAAAACATTTTGGTAGTTCTTTCAGCTTGGCTCGCTTCTGTAGTTTGTGTGAGAGTGGCTTCTTGTCCTCGACCTCATCATTGTCGCCTGCAACGTCTACCACAAACAGCTCACTGTCCGGCTTTGTCTCGAACTTACTGCAAATATGCGCGGAAATGTTATGAAATATGAAGCAAGTAATGTAAGTTTTAATTTTGTTTGGCAAAGTATAAAAAATATACGACATTTTACATTATTACAGCACTCTAATGCTGTTAAACGTAATACCTTGTACATTATCCATCGGTGTGGGCTTATAAAAACAGAAAGACTGCTCAGTTTTATGGCATTTGAAAGAGAAGTGAATATTTAACTACACACACTTAAGTGTTTCTATATTACGTGTTTACGTTTTCTATACAGGATTTCACAATGAAACTACTCAAATATTTTATTATTACCACAATTATAGTAGAAATAAACACAAAAATAGTTGAGCACATGATGTAAACATAACCTCACCCCAATCGCTCTTCTAATCTCTGATCTTCTAAGAACTCCTCGACATCACGGATATCACTGTATTTTCCCCACGCCTTCTTATTCTTCTTTGAAACACGCTTCTTCTTCTTAACGACAGACATTTTTAAATAATTATTTAATATTTTTCTGCTAACATGTGTTGACACAGACGTCTGTCACGTTTTGAAAACTTGAAAAGGACGTTCCATTCATCACAATACAAAGTAAGCAAACCTGTCATGCTAACGTTATTGTATAAAATATATTCTGTCATTGTTATTATATTAAGTTAATTTACTAAAATTTTGTAAAATATAATCTATGAGAACATAATAGGCTTACTTGCATGACTTGTTTTGTTAAGTGTTTTATCGATGAAAATTTTTAGATGAAATTATGAATTGGAACGTGGTTGTCATTCATAACTTTCACTAAAGTGCCACTACGTGTCAATAGATGGCGCTAAGCAAAACTTTTTACATTTAGATCTATTTTTAAGTGGGTAAATCATCGAATGACTTCTCCCTGGGTGAGGCGGGAGGGAGTGTCAGACTCTTACTGGCTGCCCTTCGAGCCGGAGCCCCGGTAGGCGATAACCCATTAGGTTCTCCGCGGCTCCATATCGGCATCAGCCCTATTGAGCCCCATCTGTGGGGGTCTGATTACGCGCGCGATCGCGATGCGCCGTACGCTCGGGTCTGGTTCTGGTCTGGCGGCGAGCTATCCATTTTCGCCGTCCGCAGGCCTGTGCTTAAGGTGGCCGGAAATCATCCCGCGATCCCCAACGACCGGAGTGTCCTTCGCGATAGCTGGACTGTGAGGAGGCCTTAGCTAGCATGACTGCTTCGCAAAAGGAGGCCAGGCCTCTTTGCTCCACATCATGGCCCGGATTAGGACCGGACGCGAGAGGTTGTCGTCGCCGAACACATCCCTGAGGGTACGGCGGTGCTCAGCCCGCGCAGGGCATTCCCCTACAGTGTGTTCCACCGTGTCCTCAGGGCAGTCCACGCAATAATGACACCCGGGCGTTTCCTCCCACCCTATCAGACACAGGTACCTCCCGGAGCTCCCATGTCCGGGGAGGACCTACGATAGGTGAAGACGCCGTAGCGTCTCTCAAGCCTCTCCTCATACCGCTGCAAAGGCAACAGACCCAGCCCTCGGTTGTAACAGTCGTTCCTGCCCTTCCGCTGCGTAGATAAAAGGTGCCGGTGCGTTGCCGGCCTTTTAAAAAGGAATACGCTCTTTACTTCTGTTCTTTTTCTGGACTTTCATGTAACTGGCTTTATACTAGTAGATAAAGGGGAAATAAAAATACAATATCTTTATAATAACCACCTCGTATACTTCAAGTTTATTTTAAGGTACCAAAAAATAGCATGAGATCTGTCTCTTCAATAAATTAGGTTCTGTTCAATGTAAAATAAATACCTAATAACGATTTACTTAATTTATTTTATTACTATTAACTACAACATCCTTAAAATTAAGTAACAACAAAAATTAACAGCTACATAACACTCGCACTAATAAATGGCATTTAACTATTTGGCATAATCTACTTTTTCTTTTTCTCTTCTTCGCAATCTTCTTCTTCTTCTTGTTCGGCTTCACCTTCTTCTTCTTCCTCCTCCTCTTCCTCCGGCTCGGCCGCGTGCTGCTCTTCTTTCGCTGGCGCTAGAGACAGAAGTAACTAATCTTAAAATTTCATCATAGAACAACTATGTTTTTAACTTGTATTTAAAAGATCATTAATAAATTATGTACGCTTACAGATACTGTGTACGACTTAGTAAATAGATAAATAAAATTAATTTAAATGATTATGAGTAATAAAATAATTTTGCAAGGGCCATAACCTTGGTGTGTATTGGGAAAAGCATAGGAACGAATGATGAACTTACTATGAGAACCTACCTCCTGTGACTTCTTCTACTACCATCCATAAAATCCGAATTGTTTCGCATAATTACTTTGACTTGCTACTTTATTATCCTTGAAAAAGCTATCTAAATTAATATAAGCGTCGGGGAATATCTTCCCAACATTCTTAGCGACTACTACCTTAGTTGGCTTAGCAACTAAATTGGCAGGCTTAGGTACTAATTTAGTAGGCTTAGGGGCTGCTTTAACCGGCTTAGCATATAATTGAAATGGATTTGTAGCTAATTTTTGTGACTTAGCCGATAACGGTTTGAATCTAAACTGGTTGAAAGCGGATTGGAACGGCTGGAACTGGAAATCGATGGGTTTATCCAGTTCAATCTGGTTGGGTTTCGAATGCAGTGTTTTTTGGAGTGATGTGATTGCTTTAGATATGTATGCATTGCTGTCAATGGGAGCGTGAATTGATTCTGGGGCTGTGGTGAGCAGTGTTTCTTCATGGAGGTGCAAGGGTTGTTCGCTGGTCACTTGAATGGGATCCTGGTCCGAGCTGGCCCACTCTGAAATATACGAAAGATCTCGCTTTACGAATCTCCATGATTCGCTGACGAGCCATGAAACAAAGCCATAGGTTTAGCCAATGTTGGAATATATTTTTGCAAGCTTTAGTGTCCAATTTGTATACAATTAAGGAAATTAGCTTGTTATAGGAAGAGTAGAAGCATGATATTGGGAAGAGTAGACGTGCAGTTGAAATATTAAGTGTAGGGTGAAACTAATAGTGTTGAATACTTACCAACTGCTTTCGAACCAATGTACTTTTACATGAAGTAATTTAAATACATAATAAATTATAGATAAAAGGTGCAAAAAGTAACTTATAGTACCTAAATATAGGTATTGTTAGTTTGAGGAAAGTTCTAAAAGGTTTTTGCTATGCACCTAACTCTTTTTTTGAGTTAATTTGATTTTGGTAATATAATCAATGGCGTCTTGAAAGAAACCCAAAGAATCTTTGTTTGAAAACCCATGAACAAGTTAAATAACTGGCATTTTACAGACCTTTTTTTAAAGATTTATGCAGATTTATTATTCTGTCTAAATATGAAACCATGGTAGCGTATCATGTCTTTAAGACAACTATAAGACAATCAGGGAAGGTAGGTAAGTGTTAGTCCAGTCAAGTATTAAGTGAGATGTCAAGTAATAGTCAGAAACAGTCACAGTCAAGATAGTCATCAGTCAAGATCATATTGAAAAAACAGAAGTAACAAAAACAATATTTTATTTTTTCACACTTTCTGTCGACACTATGGCTTTGAGACATCGCACTTAATTATGATGTTAGTATCAAAGGGAACTGTTACGTAACTCGCAACGCAACAAGCATGCGTCATGCAACATGTTGCACTAACTACACAGCAAACTTGGCTTTAATCGCTGCTTGGTTGCGTTGTCAAGTTACAGGATTTCGTTTGACATTTTGGGCATCACCTCAAAATATTTTTGCGGTAAGTATAACTTGATAGTTACACAAACAAAATAGGAACCACTTGGGACCATATAAGTATAAAAAAGTATAAAAATGGAAAACATAACAGATATCACATAACTCGATGTTGAAGCATTCCTAACTATAAAGAAAAAACATTTTATTTACATCGTAGTAGATATTAATCTAGCTACTTGTAAGCTAACATTAGAATAGGATGCAATGTGTGAAATAAATATTTTAATGCTAAAGTACCCTATCCTAATATTAACTATAGCTAACGTTCTGAGATTCTTAAACTTTTTTACTTTGTTGATTTTGTGTGGGAAAAGACAATAGGTAAAAGGAGGGAACAAGAAACATGAACAGAAACAGGGATGAGGAAAATGATTTTGATAGTAGAAAATGAAAAAGAGTTAAAGGAACTTTTTGGAAAAACAAAAACAAATTGACGAACGAATACCACGAATGTGACAGAAGAAAGTGAAAGACAAATGATGATAGCGAAAAAGGAAAACAAAGACATAGAGAAGAAATAAGGATAGAACTAGGAACAAAAATCAACAAACCGAAAAACTCCTTCAAATCTCAGAACTCAGACACCTAAAACCTTATTGTTACTAGTGGTGGTAGTCCGACTGTAGCTGATAATATTCGTGAGCGTCCTGTTCCTGGCTCTGAGGAGCAGCCTGGTACTGCTCGGGCGCCGTACCTTCGTGAGACGAATCCTTGTGCTGGCCTCCAAGTCCAGCCGCAGCTGCCTTCGCTGCAGCGGCAGCAGCGTTAGCTTGAGCCTGTTGAGCTGCCGCCTGGAAGAAGGACGAAAAAAATGGTAAGTATACAACTGACTTAGCTTGATGACAATAAAACCGAAACTGGCGATTAAAGTGGGTATTCTAATGATAACAAAACTGATTTACTACATTTGGACTGATAAAATCATTGATGCATAAGATATCCTTTAATAAACCTTATTCTTAGTCAACAGGCGATATTTAAGAAAGAAATATGAAAAAGAAAGAAAGAGAAGTGAGATCAATAAGTTTATTAAAAGGAACTAATGAACAAGACAACAACAAATAAATAATTCTCCTCGCCACATCTCAGTAGACCATGGAAATGGTAATATCCTCAATAATGTACGCCTTTGAGTTCCGTTGCGCTTCCTGTTCAAGGAAACAGTATTCATTATTATTTTAAACCAAAAGTTTCCATAGGATTATCTACCAATTGCCTAGGTTTTGGTTACTACTTAAGTATGAAGTTCTATGTGGAATGTAGCACATGATTTCACCTTTACACTATCGTGGTAATACTAAATTATAATATATAAGTGTCTCTTCATACCTGAGCCTTTCTCGCCGCCGCCTGCGTAGCCTCGAAGTCGATCCTGACTCCATGGAGCTGATCCTGCAGAGTATGCAGCCTCTGTCTGGCAGCTCCTACCATGGCGGTCTGGGCACCGAGCTCACCAGCAGCTTGAGATGCTGCTTCATTGGCGTTCTCTGATGTAGCTTGGGCAGCGTTCAAGGCAGCTTGGATAACGTTCACCTGTGAATCACAAAGAGTTAATCAAGATTCACTCCAGGGATCTACAATTCTACATGTTTTATTCTGGAATTGGTCATCAACTTGGCTGAGTTCCAGAGGTGAATAGAAGCTAGAGATGTCACATTCCATAAACTCCATGCAATCTTAGAAGAGGACTTAGATGTCATAATAAAATAGAGCATGTCTAATGATTATGAAATACTGAGAGCGAAAGTTTCAAGTTCAATGTACAATCTTAAACCATGAACCAACAGGAAAACGTATTGGTTACAATGAGATCATATTGCTTATCTGACCACAAGATTCTCATTACTATACAAATCCTTACTTCCTTACTTATATTATAAATCGGAAAGTGAGTTTGTTTGTTTGTTCCACTTTAACGCTGTAATTTGGGCTCGCTGCCATTGCAGCGGTAAGTCCCCTCTTTGAGGAGTGGCTTGAGAGACGCTACGGCGTCCTCACCTACCGCCTGACGCAGGTCCTCACCGGACACGGAAGTTTCGGGAGGTACCTGTGTCTGATGGGGCGGGAGGAAACGCCCGGGTGTCATCACTGCGAGGACCGCCCTGAGGACACGGTGGAACACACCGTAGCGGAATGCCCTGCGTGGGCTGAGCACCGCCGTGCCCTCAGGGAAGTGATCGGCGATGGCGACCTCTCGCGTCCGGGCCTAGTGCAGGCCATGATGCGGAGCGAGGGGGACTGGGATGCCGTCTCCTCCTTTTGCGAAGCAGTCATGCTAGCTAAGGAGGAGGCGGGACGCGTGAGGCAGCGAAGCGCTGCCTCCTCGCAACCCAGCCATCGCGAAGGACACACCGGGCGTCGGGGATCGCGGGACGATCTCCGGCCACCGTAAGCGCGGGCCTGCGGACGGCGAGCATGGGTGGCTCCCCGTCCGACCAGAAACAGACCCGAGCGTACGGCGCGTCGCGTTCCGCGCGCGCCTCAAAGAGCCATCAGACCACCACAGATGGGGCCCAATAGGGCCGATGCCGATTCGGAGTCGCGGAGAACCTAACGGGTAACCGGGGCTCCGGCTCGACGTGCAGGAGAAGGAACGGGGTGGTTTTTAGTCAGTAAGAGTCTGACACTCCCTTCCGCCTCACCCAGGCGGGAGCAGTCATTCGATGATTTTCCCCCCTTAAAACAAAAAAAAAAAAAAAAAAAAAAAAACGCTGTAATTACTAAACCGATTGCTTTGAAATTTTGCAGACGTAAAGTTAGAAGTCCGGATTAAATAATAGGGTACTTTTTATCCCTAATAAAATTGATATTCCCGAGGGAAAACAAAAGTATTGGTATAGATGGCGCTGTATGTATTGGTATATGTCACATTGGCTTTTTATCCTTTTGTGACGTGAGCGAAGCTGCGGGTAAAAGCTAGTTAAAAATAAAGGGAGAAATTACATTGATATCCGGAACTATGATAATACGAGTACCTAACACAGCTAATATGAAAGTTTCTCATGAGAGATAAAAGGCAGCTGTCTCCAGTAAGACCTTGGACTTTCAACAGCAATTTAAATAATATCTAAAACACAATAAAGCCACAAAATGGACCGGAACGTTGTTATAATTAAAATGTGTCGCAAACAACTGAAGAACGATAAAGATTGCTTGCAAAATATTTCGATCGGTAACGTTTCGGTTTCTTGATTGGGTTTCTTAAATTCTTGCGAACTTGGGATCGAGTGAAGTGATTCAAGGACGAGAGCTGAAGTAGATGTTATTATTTTTACAGTAAAATAATCTAATATCTAATTAAGCTTAACTTATCTTGTCTTTCTAAAAAGACAGAGAGATATAACCGACTGATTACTTAATCAAAGGAAGTATGGATGCATCGGTTTAAACATGACATGAGATACACAAATCAGACTCCTCATACTCTCTGGACTTCGTGGTTTTTAAACTACCAAACACCGCGAGGACACCGGTGACCGCAACCTATTGTTCTCTAATTGTGTCTATAATGACGGTGCTCAAAGAGGTTATTACTAGGGAAAAAGCCATCTCAATGAAGAAGATACAATTGACGATTTGTCACAGAAAAAAGTGTAAGGAAAAAATTACGAAATATGCATACTATCATCTTCAACGGCTCGAAACAGTCCAGTGTTGAACTGTGAGCCATCTCCAAATAACTAGCTAGAGTGTATTGCCCCGATAACTTCAAGCCTTATCAATTTTTTAGTTCAAATATTCAGCATAACTTGATTACTAAGTTATGGATAACAAGATCTTTGACAAACTGCAGAAATTGCAAATAATGTAACAAGCAACAATAGTAAGTGCAACCGTTATATAACGATCGGATTATAGTAATCGGTCAACTGTTGTCTAGACCAAATTAGTCAATACACAGTCTTTACTGGAGCATTCAACGTAACGTAACTTTTTGTTAAAACACGCCAATATACCAAAGCTTTATATAATCTAAATAACTGTCTAAGCCTTTATACAATTAATTAACATAATTGGCTATAATATCTGTCATCCAAACTTCTTCTATGAATATCTTCAAGACGGATACGTTGCTTTATAAATCACTATGCAAGCGGTTGTTCATTGCAAATCCATAAATTTTCTTTCTCTCTAAATCTAACACTGTTGTAATACTGATCAGTTTTTGAAGAACATTTTACTTTAAACAACTGAGCACTATAGTTACCTGATTTTGAGAACCATCAAGTAATCTAATTATTCGCTATTTCTATATCAGTTTATCCAGAGAAACACTCGGCCATTACAACATGATTAGTAAACAGATCGCCAACGCTTTCTCAAGATTGAAACTGTTGCAAGAACTTAGTTTTTCGTACTTTACTCAGTTTAGTATTACTAAACACCATAACATAAAGTAAATCAATTACATGGAATTGCTAAGTTCAAATTAATATGTTTTTGTTCACATTTTGTCACGTAATATTTTGAAATTGAATTGCAATTATTTTGCGCGGGAATTGTTTATTGGTTGCATTCATTTTGCAGAAACGTTTGAAGTTCGTGTCGGTTACGGTTCATGTGTTCAGTGTTTAATCAATTTTCTATGTAGATGTAGGACTGTTTTCAGTGAATCGGGTCAAGGTGTTATTACTAGGTAATGTAACTATCAACAATAATATTTATTTTCAATCAATCATTACTTATCCTTCATCAACCAGATGATGCATAAATGACGTCTACTGCTGGACTCACTTTCAGCCTTCGACACTCTTGCCTGTCCTTCTTCCATCCTTTACATTAGTTAGTTCTTCTGATGTAATATTCACTCGAGTCGCAATGGAAATTATTGAATTAATTTTATGCTATCACATCGATATTTCAACCAATAATCCATTTTCAAGTTTACAAAAGTAAATTGTTAGTAATCTCATCTATGTGTACTTAACTTTTCAGTTATATAACTAAAATGCTACATAACACATTACTATAATAGGCTTTTAACCTCTTTGTCAACATGTTTAGTTGTGTTACCAATTTGTGGCACACAATGTTAGTTATACCACTTACTGCAATTGTAACAAAACGACCATTGAACGATCAATTCATTTCCCAAAGCAAGTGGACCGAACTATTGCGTAACTCAGTAATTATAATTGACTTTCTGATATCTTTCTTCAATGTTTTGTATTATTTTTTTCGTAAAACTCATTTGAAGCGATTTGCACAACGAGTTTTTTGTACATTTCGTTGGATTTTTCCATTTTTTATTTTATTTATTTAGGTACTTGAAAAAATCACTTTTAGTGTTACAGTTGCGTTACTGTTGCTGCAAAAACCTGTCAGCGTGCCTCCAGTTTTTTTAATTAGTTCATTGCCAAAATTATCGTGAACTGTACCTACTGGATAAGTTTGCTCAATTGTTATAAAAATTATTTGCATTTTTTGAGTACCGAGCGCTGTTTGGCCGTGGCCGGGAAGTGCGTTTCACTTGCGATTGCCATTTTTATCGCTTTGCAAAAAATGGTTTGAATGTGTAAGTTTGCAATAACAAGAGTTGTTGAAACCAATTAATAAGTGACACCTACCTGGTGCATAGCTTGCTGGGCGGCGTTGGCAGCAGCCTGGGCGGCTCTCTTAGCTTGTTGCAGCTGCATCTCTTCACCCTGGAGTCCAACCTTGGCGTCTCTGACTTGCTGTTCCAAACCTGCGAGGATGACCTGTTTACCGGCGAGGGCGGCCTGGGCTGTGGCACTGGCTTGGGCAGCAGACTGGGCGAGAGTGTTCTTGGCTACGTAAGCAGCTTGGTAACCAGCGGCAGCTTGGTTTCCGAGAGCAGTCTTGGCTTGGTTGGCGGAGCCTACGGCGATGGTCCTGAGACCACTGCCCTGACTGAAGCCTTTCTTGCCGCCACTGCCGCCGCTGGCTGCAGCCTTAACGTCCTGGATGTAGGCGTCGTAGTGGCTGGCTGACTCCTGGGGCTCCTGGGCCTGTGGGGCTTGTTGTGCCTGTTGGGCCGCATGGTCGTAGTCGTATTCATACTCGATAGGGGAGCTGTCGCGATTCACTGGAGCTGCAGCCGCCAGGGAAAGTGTGCCTGGAACAATTCACAAGTGATGGGGTTAATGGGGATGCTATTAAAATTTGTGGAAATCAACATTTTAATTAAAGGCTTTTAATTAGGGCATAATTTCATTGGCCTTCATAATACATGTTTTGTAACAATATCCTTCGCGTCTTTACTTAATTACAAAACCACATTCACGGGTGACAGTTTTATTACACAATTAAACAGTATTTGTCACAATACTTTCATTAAATATATCTTTATGGAAGGACGAATTTTGGAATAGCAAGAAAATGTTGAGAAACACTTGCATTGCGTTAATTCGATTAAACCAAATTTTAATTATTAAGTAGCCAATTATTCGCTCAATTACATCAATTACTCTACTTCTTGTATCTTCGATTCGACTAATTCATTATGTAAAAAAATAATGTAGTGAGTGTTCAATTCATGGTCAAGAAAAATAATTCTCCAGAAAAGTTTCAAACATTAATTAAGTAATTCTGTCGTTTACAGGTACTGGATTACTGAAAAATATTTACTTTAATCATAACATGGTATTATCTAACAATCGGCGGCGTAATTGGTGAACATACACAGACAAAAAAAAGAATCATCCGAACATTATACGTCCTCCCGCTACCATTTTAATTCTACACAAAGTATTATTATCCAAGTCATTTCAGGAAAAGCTTTCAGTAATTCCAAATTTTCTGTTACTTTAACTCGGGTTTAATATTACTAAAATGCTCTTCATACGCTGGTAGGGCAAGAAAGAGATTTATTTTAAATGTAGAATTTTCTTTAATTAACTTTTTTATTTTACTTAGGGAACCTGAATAGCGACACGGGGTATTTTTTATCCTCTTAATACGAACTGTGTATTTTTTTTTGTTTCAATAATGATAAATCAATAGGTACATATAGTAAGTGGTTATGTTAACTAATAGACCAAGTATTTAACCCACTCATGCGTAAAACTAGCCGAGTGAATGCGTAAAACGATCTTGCGTGAGGAAACGTGCGCGGGCGCACTTCCTAACGCCCGAATTGCTATTTACATTACTTCTAGCTTATATAAAGACGATAACGTGATATAATTGTATGTAATTACTTTTAATTTTTGATCTATATAACTTTAATAATTACTATTTACTGGTTACCTAGTTACTTAGTAATTATTGGTACTTAGTTTAGTTTCATTAATATGGTGTCCGATTTTGATTTCCGATGTTTAAGTGAATGAGTTGATCTAAATGAGGTGAACGCAGTTTCACATCCCATAAAACAGTTTTACATGTAAATGAAGGATAGAGGGGAAGGATATCTGATTTTTAAATTAACGTTTCAAAAGTTCGATGTTTATGTTTACCTACCTATGATGGTGTTCATCTCACCTCACGCAAGACATGGTAGAAATTACAAATAGTTATCTCCTAACATAGATAGATACTTAGGCTAGAGCTGGTACTTATATCTATCGTTTAATTAAGAATTTATAACGTTTTTCAGTTACTTTATCTTAAAACTCCAAATAGTATCTCACTTAGTTAGGTATACCTAAAAAAATATCCACTATGACTTTTTGAAAATTTTTCTAAGAAAAACCATAGAAACATACTATTATTATTTGTTTTAATTAAGACAGGTTTAAGAAGATAACTGATTCTTTCATCATACTTCAGTTCCTTCGTAAAATAATTCAGCCTGTAAAAACCTCGTGCAGTATTGTAACGTTATTTTCCTCAGGTTTCATTATTTACATGGAAATGTTGCGGAAACGGATATGACACGCAGTTTTAATGCATCGTTATGTATTGGCAGTATATGCATGTACTATGTACATATAGGTAAAATTGTATTACTACTTTTAAAACTGTTTATTTATGATGTTGCTGAACATTATATTTAATACTGAGTTGTAGAATTGTTACTAAAAATCGCGGGTTACTCACGTGAATATCTATACTGAGAAAGAACACTACTCATGAGGAAGAACCCCTCTGTGGTTCGAAACTAGTAGAGCTTTTCTCAGTATTTTCACGTGAGTATAACCCGCGATTTTGAGTTAATTTAGTATGTCTCACGATAGTTATTATAAAAACATAATTGTAGATTATTTTCAAATATCTTTAGATGTCTGATAAAATTTAAATAGCTTTTTAATCTGTGACTGACTGTAAAGCCATACGAATAAACAAATAAATATTTAGACATTTCATAAAGGTTATGGCTGAGTTATTTTATCACTTTAGTTCACTTTTTTGAAAAACTGTTATGATGCTGATTGCAGAATTGGTCCACGATAGTAAATTGTTTCATTTGATGATATAAATAAATAATTTGTCACTTAATTTTTTTGTAATCGATTATTTTTGGTCTGAAATTTACTTATTCATTTCTGATATAAAAAAAAGTTAATAGATTTCAAATTTTTTTTAATAGTGATGATTTATTTTTGATAAACGATTAATAAATATATAAATAGTATGTACCTAACGTAAACTCATTAAAATTAAAATGATTGATTTAATTAATATAAAGATGATTAATAAGTTTTCTTCTTAACATTATTACTAAAAATATTTGTGTCACTAATACTAAAAATGTCACTTTAATAGCAATGAATCATTTATTTTATAATACTTATTTTATTAATAGATAATTAAAAGTAATAAATACTCACCGATACATAATAATACAGCTGAAAACGTCTTCATTTTCGCTACAGTCGAACTGAAATGACACCGTTACAGCACTTAATTTACATCATAATAGAACAAAATATTATTATTATTAATTTTACTAAAGCAATTTACAAAAAGCTCTAAGTTATTTTCAATGAAATTAATTCATTAATCCTTTAACACATTCAGAAAAATTTAAGAGAAAAATCTAGCCAAAATATTTAGCACGAAATCACACGAAAATCTAGAAAAAATTAAGCACAAAATTCACTGAATACCTTCCAGAACTTTCACAAATGTTTAATATGTTTTTGGTTTAGGCTGGGGGGTAGGTAGGCCCCGCTGTGCGGTCTGTGAGGCAATGTACACTCGGACAAAAATCACTTGTATTTATAGTGATTAGGCTACGCCGTGAGAGAGCAACGGCTACGAGGTATCTCTATAGAGCTGCTCGGTGGAAAATTGAAAGAATTGAAAGAAAGGCTCGCTATTGTGCTCTTTGATTAATTGTTACACTGAATTTATGGATTGGTAAGACATTTGGATGGTACGGATTTTGACGTTTTGGAGAAAACTGTCTTGAAATAATTCTATAAACAGAATGTTTGGGGACAAGTGGTTTATTTATTATTGACTGAGTCTCATGAAGTCTCATCATCACATTACTGGAAGTAGTAGAATAATACTTAGGTAAATAAAGTTTCAGGTTGATATCAATTGATTGAAAGTACTATTTAAATTTCTAAGCGATCTAATATCTACGTATGGGATTCGAAATAAGGTTGTTTTAAGTATAGATTGTTTTAAGTATAAGTATAGGTTGTACCTGTATTAATATCCTAGAATTTCCTTTTATCCTAGATTTTACATACACACACATACTAGTGGATGAGTTCAAACAAGTTTAATAAGTGTAGTAGGTATTATCATCTCTTAAGTTATCCGTAGCAGTTTCGTCCACAATCTTGGGGTGCGAGGTGGAGAAAAATAAATTATATCATTGTCCACAAAGGCGCCCGTCACCATGTCATAATGTTTGGTCAATCACATGCACTCGCCGCGGCAACGGCTGCACTTTGCAATCCAAAGGAAATTTAGCCATTGAGAAATTGTGGTCTCAGCACCTGAAGCTGTAGCTAGGGTTAGGAAAAAATATAATACCTAAATCAATTATAATTTGATGCATCGCTTGTCAAGTGTAATCACTGGTGTGACTCCTAAGTCCTAAGCGTCATTCAGAACCTCATGTTCTCCATCTCCGTAATGGACAAAGTAGGCCTCTTTGATTCGTTTGTAATCTTTAATGTTGGTTCAGAAACATATATTATTAAAAGGTTGTTGTCTAGTGAGCCTAGTCTTAGGGTGCGTCCACATGTGTTCCAGATGTGGACCCACGCTAATATCTAACCCATCGGTCATCTAAAATTTGTTATTCTATAGCTTACGCTTACGTAATAGGATCCCATAGACGCCTCGGGGGCATTTAAGTCTAAATTCTTATTAGCTCATTAATTAACTGTCTGTTCTCTTTATTCTTTTATTCAATTTCACCGGAAAACCTACGAAGTCAATTGGTCTGCGAATTTGCGCGCCATTGCTCATAACTTTTTAACTTTTTGGTCACAAAAATTTAAATGAGATTGTCAAATGGAGCATGGAGATGGAGTTGATAGATCATAGAACTGATGGTCAGCGATGGATAAACAAACTACAGACGTCAATACATATTAACTTCTGAATAAAGAAGAAGGAATAGAATGTGGAATGTGGATCACGCTTAGCTAACTATGGAAGACAGACATTCGTCCCAAAATAGGACTTTGTATCACCATCATCATCATATCAGCCACAGGACGTCCACTGCTGAACATAGGCCTCCCCCAATGACTTCCAGATAGGCCGGTTGAAATGAACCTGCATCCAACGGCTCCCTGCTACCAACGGCTCCCTGCGACCTTAATCAGCTCGTGTATCCAAGTGGGAGATAAGATGAATTTTGTATAAGAAATCAGAACTTTATGAAAAAAAATTTTTCATGGGATAAACTAGAAAACGAGCAGACGGTTCACCTAATGATAAGCAATCGGCGTCGCCCATGGACACCTGTAATAGTATCGGCGTTACAAGTGCGTTACCGGCCTTTTGGGAATCAGTAATTTGATGATTGAGATGAGATAAGAGAACAGGGTGGGGGTTAGTTGGGCCTCCGGTGACCTCACTCACACGACGAAACACAACGCAAGCGCTGTTTCACGTCGCTATCACTCTGATCGAGTCAGCCCATTCGTGCCGAAGCATGGCTCTTCCACACGAACAAACAAAGTAATAACAACGGCAACTGTATTGCCTACAATTGCATGAGCTAGCTACTTAGTTCAAAATTACTCTCACTATTATGAACAGGAGCAATTTATAATGCATTGATATAACCATTCAAAGTTTCGGCTCATAAAATGAACTAAGTATCTGCTAATATTTATAACTGTCTATAAAACCAACAGTGTACTAATATTCAGTCATAAAATAATCGATTAAGTTCTGCCGCACACGTGGGTGGGCGCTTTGCATTCTAAACGAGTTGCACTTAGATGGGGCCCAATAGGGCCGATGCCGATACGGAGTCGCGGAGAACCTAACGGGTAACCGGGGTTTCGGCTCGACGTGCAGGAGAATCAACGGGTTGGTTTTTAGTCAGTAAGAGTCTGACACTCCCTCCCGCCCCACCCAGGTGGGAGCAGTCATTTGATGATTTTCCCCCCTTAAAAAAAAAACGAGTTGCACTTCAGTACAACACTAGAACAGTACGTTGCATGTTCATTGTCCATCAGAACTAATGAGGGCAATAATTTACTTGGAACTACATTCGATATATAAAGGTGAATGTCTTAGAAACATGTGTATTCTGTATATGTGTAACAAATTATATGTAAGAATCTTTCCGCTTTGTTCTGTTTTTTTAATACGACTACGCTATTAGCATCATGTTGTGTAAAAATACTACAGACTGCCTCGCGGGTCGAGTGGTCGCAAGTGCGACTGCTGGGCAAGGGGTCTCGGGTTCGATTCCCGGGTCGGGCAAAGTAGTACTTACATACATACAGGCGTGAAGTCTATGGAACGCTAATTACTACGATTCCTATATACCTCTTTCCCTTCATTAACAGTCATCAATCTTTTCATGCATGCTCGTCGGTTAAGGGTTCTTTTAATTAGGCCCTTCTTGGTTTTAAAAAAAAAATCTCAGTAGTAGCACGGAGTCTAGAATTGTGCCCGGTATATATGGCAATAGGCTCACCCCCTATTACATGGGACTCATAACATAAATAGTGAAAAGTGGGTGTTATATTGCACAGTAGAATTAAATGCCGTATTGTGCACCTCTGCCTACCGCTTCGGGGATGAAAGGCGTGATGTTATGTATGTACCTATATTGTAAATAGAGGAGAAAAAAAAGAAAAAGAAACCATAACAAACTATATTCGAAGCTGTAGGTACGTATTTTACTGCATAGCATAAATTAATTCACTATAAATCATTATTGTGACAATAAAAAAATGGACCTAAATAAACAGCACAAACTAGATACGTAAATAACAAGTGAATGACCCAAGTTGAATTAACTTAGGACACTGAAATATAAAAAAGAAAACATGCATCAATTTCGCACTCCAGTCACTTTATACGTTAGCCCGAAATAAGATATAAAATAGGGTAGTTTCCTAAATTTTATTTTAATGTCCGTCTGGTACATTAAATTAAAACATTAGACACGTATTTTTTCTTTTCTCACAAAATTAAATACTTTCGACGATATATTAATTTGAAATATCGTGTGACGTCACAGCACGTTATGACGTAACGACCTCCCACTCCTAAACTCAGCGCCATTTTATCTAAATATTGCAACTTAATACGAGAAAATAAAAAAATACGTGTCTAATATTTTTTCATGATCTAACTGACGGACTAATTCGATTTTTAATTTTGATACCCTGGGGACTACCCAATTAATAGCGAACAATTTAAGCATGATATTTGCACTCTATCGCTTTGTCAATGGCAGTGCAAAATAGTGACCAAACATAAATTCATATTAAAAAAATAAAACAAAACATTGTCACACTAACAATGTGTATTAAAGAAAACAAAAGCTCTATATTGAAAGACCTTCAACTACAAAAACAATTAGAGATATTAATCACAGCTCGATAATAATAAGTACATTATCAATCAGAATGTAAGAAAACTTTGTCCTTATTGAAAAATTACCACAGAAGGTCTTGTACTTGCACTTTGTTAATACTTTCAGATTTACCATAACGATAAAGATACTTTGCCATTAAATGCCTTGGTGATATACGAACTGCATCTTACTAATAAATTATTATAAATGAAACAGTTTGAGTTTGTGTGTATGTTTGTCACTCACGTCAAAACGACGTCTGTATATAGACTTAAACTGAATCGCATTAAAGACGAGACGAGAGCAGTCGCTCAAGTTCAAGTTCAAGGCGTCATGCACGTCGGTCATTGTGCATATACTTCTCATGATTATGAGACCCCGTCGTGCCCTGAAACTAGTAGAGCACCCACACCGATTCAATTAGATTAAGCTTGTGGAATGATAGTAGATAGTAGAACGCATTTTTTTTTGTTTATTTGCTTTCAATTGTAAAACGTTATCCAATGCATTTTACTATGTATATCATTTGCATGCTTAAATGGTAAAATATGGCTGAACCTGTATTTTTATGTCACCTGTAACTGTTACTATTATTTGCAAAATAAAAGTACCTATCTTTATCTTTATTAACTAAAAATCGCGGGTTACTCACGTGAAAATAATAAAAAAAACTCTACTAGCCTACTGTATCGCGCACGTTACTCATGACGAAGAGCCCCTTTGTGGCTCGAAACTAGTACTAGCGACCAGACCCGGCTTCGCACGGGTGCTATATGCATGTATTATGCATATTATTATGAACCTCCCTTAGGATCACTCTATCTATAAAAAAACCGCATCAAAATTCATTGTGATCTAAGCATACACAGGGCAAATAGATGGCGGGTAGCGACTTTGTTTTATACTATGTAGAGTGTACTATATAAGTCTCATAAAGATGCATCGTCAGTATCCAGTTCCTTACTTGGAATGAATAACTAATCGACTTTGCTACAACTAGGTACATAATGTGGTAATTACTAGGTGCTTACCAAATAAACAACTTCATCGATCAATTTCTTTGAACACTAGATTTTAGATAGCGATGCGCTTAACTTTGATTATAACTACAATACATAGGTAAGTAATCGTAACATTTAAAAAGCTAGCTAGGACGTTATATAAATTTCAATTCTAGAGACCGAAGTGATCTTATTTCGAAGTGAGCTCACTTCAAAAGTTC